CCTTTGTGTCCCTTCTTTTTTATTGGATTTTTCTATTTCTTTTTCTTTTTTTTTCTTGTGTTGTCTTTTTTGTTCTTTTGTTTTGTTTTGTTTTGTGTTATTTTCGTTCTCGTTTTCTCCTTCTCCCCATCCCTTCCTTTGTCTTTCTTTCCACCTCCTTTTCCTTTCTCCAGATCTTTTTTTTTCTCTCGGTTCTGCATTCTCGTCCTCCTCCTCCTCTTCTGTACCCTTCTTTTCTACACCCAACCTCTCCTTGTATTCTTCGTACCTGCATTACCCTTGAATTATTTCCTCTTTGTTTATCGTTATCTTTCGAACCATCCCCCTCCCTTTCCCCTCCCCTAAAAAGATACATCAAATCAATAAAACATATATATATATGTATCTTTCTTTCTCATCTTTCCTCCCTCTTCTCCCTAAACTTACCCGCATCCAAACTCTAAAAAGAATGCTCTATGATTCTTTAAGAAAAAAAGGAGAAAAACACAACCCCAATGACTCCTTTTTCACCTCATCCGCCTCTTCTCTCTCCCTGCAGGCTATCCGTGGCCGCCGCTCCGCTGAGATGCAGTATGAGGAATCCTCTGCTCGCATCAAGGACCTCACTACCATTAACATCAACCTCACCAACGCTAAGGCTAAGCTCGAACAGGAACTTTGCGTCATCGCTGGAGACTACGATGAAGTCAGCAAGGAACTTAGGGTGAGTGAGGGTTAAGTTGAAGGTGTTTTTTTTGTTTTTTTTTCATGGTTTTGGTTTCAGTAAGTGTGAATATCGTCTGATTTCTAGAAATACGTATTAATATCTGAATCGAATGTGAAACGCCTAATTTAATTTAGGATCATCTTTATCTATATATTTGAACTTGAATTCATGCCTCTCATATACATTCTTCTACCTTCATGCATCTGTACTTGAACGTATTTGCCCTGATTCACTTTATACATTCATTCATCTACGTTCCTGTCTCAGAACTTGAAAGCATTTATCCAGACTAATCCTATACTTTCATGCATCAACTCAAATGCGTCAGAACTAAAAAAAATATTCACCACGAGGCCATTTTCACACATTCAGTTCACAAAAAAAAATATCTCAAAACGAGTAATAATCTCACGCACTCAACACTACAACACAAACTTCTCAGAAACTCTAATGTATTGATTTCCAACCACACTCATTTATTTACCTCAAACTCTCTCACATAATTAATCCAAAACCTCTCATTTATTAACCGAAACACTCATATTTATTCACCAAAACACATATTTATTACCCTAAACACTCATTTATTTACCCTAAACTCCCCCCTCTCCCTCTCTCTCTCTCTCTCTCATTTCACTCATTACCCCAAACCCTCATTTCTACTAACCCTACATCTCCCTCTCCCTCTCCCATCCTCCCCCCATTCACTCCCTCATTCATCCTCCTTTACTCATCTTATCTCACCCCTTTCCCCCCCACCTTCCAGCTGTGCGAGGAACGCCTGAGCAAGGTCAGCGTGGAACTGAAGCGCACCGTTGAGATCCTTCACGAAGAACAGGAACGCTACGTCAAGATCGAGTCTATCAAGAAGTCCCTGGAAGTCGAGGTCAAGAACCTGAACATCCGCATCGAGAACGTCGAGGCCAACTCTCTCGTCAACACCAAGAGGATGATCTCCAAGCTGGAGGCTAGGGTGAGTCTGGGGAAGGGTTGGGGAGGGAGGGGAGGGGGAGGGTAGGGTGAGGGAAGGGGGAGGAAGTTTAAGGGTAGGGTGAGGGAAGGGGAGAAAGGGTGAGGGTAAGGGGAGGGTAGGGTGAGGGTTGGGGGAGGGTAGAGTAAGGAAGGGTGAGGGAAGGGGAGGGTAGGGGGAGGAAGGGTGAAGGTAGGTGTGGGTTTGGAGTAAGGAAGGGTGGGTTTGAGAGTGACAGGGATTTTCAGGAGATTAGGGTGAGTAAATCATCTAGCTAAAGGGTGAGTTAGAAGGGTGACTAAAGATAACGTAGATGATTTTCGGCAAGTTATAGAATGATCACTGGTGAGTTAGGGAGAGATGGGGTGAGTAAGGAAGATCAGGATGAATAAGAGGGCTTCTAAGGGTGAGTTCTAGGAGGTAAGGGTGAGGGTGTAGCCGGAATAAAGTCTAAGGGTGAATCTAGGAAGATGAGATGTCTCGAAGGAAGTTAGATCAGAGAAACCAAGATATTCTCCTTCTCTTTCGTTCTCGCTCTCTCTATGTCTCATTATCTCTCTCTCTCTATCTCTCTCTCTTTCTCTCTCTCTCTCTCTCTCTCTCTCTCTCTCTCTCTCTCTCTCTCTCTCTCTCTCTCTCTCTCTCTTCTTTCTTTCTGTCTTCCTCTCTCCTCTTTCTTCTCCCCCCCTTCCTCTCTCTCTCTCTCTCTCTCTCTCTCTCTCTCTCTCTCTCTCTCTCTCTCTCTCTCTCTCTCTCTCTCTCTCTCTCTCTTTCTCTCTCTCTCGCTCTCTACCTATTTATCTATTTATCTCTCTCCCCACCAACGACTAACCCCCCCTCCCCCTCCCACAGGTACACGACCTCGAGATCGCCCTTGACGAGGAGCAGCGCCGCCACCAGGAAACCATCAAGGTCCTGAGGAAGAAGGAGCGCAACGTGAAGGAGCTCGTCCTCCAGGTCGAGGAGGACCACAAGAACATCCAGATCCTGCAGGAGACTCTCGACAAGACCTACGAGAAGATCAACGTCTACAAGCGCCAGCTGTGCGAACAGGTCGGTGCTCGAGCTCGAGGAATAGGGTGCAGGAAAAAAGAAAAGAAAAAAGAAAGAAAGAAAGGGAATATATAAATATATATATATATATATATATATATATATATATATATATATATATATATATATATATATATATATATATATATATATATATATGTATGTATATATATATATATTTATTTATTTATCTTTATATATGTATATAATACTGTACGTATGTATTTTTCTTCTTCTTTTGCATATATGTAGGTATGAATAGGTTTGTATGTATATTGTTGATAGATGTATCACTTTGTCAGTTTAGATGTGTGATGTTGTGCATTTACACGCACTACAAATCAAAACATTTCATTGAAAAATATAAAAATATAAACATATACTGACTCATTCATTCAGTATAACTAACAAGAGCGTTACATATCAGCTTGCTAAACACACTTGTCTCTCTCCCTCTCTCTCTCTCTCTCTCCGTCGTGTCCTTCCCCTTCGGCGCCCGCAGGAGTCCGTGTCCTCGACCAACCTGTCCCGCGTGCGCAGGTTCCAGAGAGAGCTGGAGGCCGCCGAGGAACGCGCAGACGTCGCCGAGAGCAGCCTGTCCATGATCCGCGCCAAGCACCGCACCTTCGTCACCTGCCAGAGCACGGTGTTGCCCAGCGGCGAGACCGTCGTGGTGAAGGAGACCGTGACCCAGCAGTAGAGGCGTCCTTCGGTCCCCAAGCCGATCGGCAGCGCCCTTCTCCTTCTCCTTCTTCAGCGTCGTCGCCAGAGGGATGCCTTCGCTCTGCTCTCTCGCGACGCCGTCCGCAAAAGCAAGATTGTTTACATCGTCTATTTTCTTTTTATCGTGATAGACACTTTTTTTTTCAATTTGTCTCTCCTTCTATCTTGAAGATATAGTATTAATCTAAGAGAAAAAAAAATATTACTTTTAAAAGAAATCTAATTTAAAGGACTAACTTGTAATAAAAATGTAAGGCGAATCTCAAGCTCCTTAAATAAGAAAAGAAACAAAACAAGAGAAGTGAAGATATGCCACACCATCACAACAATGTATTCATTGTATATATAATTGGACGTAATAAAAGATTTGTCATACACGAACGTCTGTGAGTGCTATACAACTGTCTCGATGACGTCATCTTCCTGTGCTGGGATTGGGGGAAAGGATGTACAATGTGGAGGAATTATGCAAATGAGTTTGGTCATTTCTTTATGGTGATAATGATGATGGAGAGTGACTGGAAGTACCGATGGATGGAGTCGTTGTTCCAGAGATGAATAATATATATTTTTTTCATTTTACTTGGCTTTATCTCTCTCTCTCTCTCTCTCTCTCTCTCTCTCTCTCTCTCTCTCTCTCTCTCTCTCTCTCTCTCTCTCTCTCTCTCTCTCTCTGCTATTTTTTTATCATTCTATATTATATTCCTTACTGTCCTGGATTGATATACTGATTTTAGCATTATGTCTTCGTTATTATCATTACGATATTATTTTTGACTTTCAGTTTTATCTACACCTTCTAAAATCATTATTATCATTATTATCATCATCAACAATACCACCAGTCTTACCTGCCTAATCATTCTGATATCCTTATCATCATAATTGATAACCGGATAATTATTACCATCAATTTCAATAAACATGAAGTGCCAACGTTTTCTTGTAAAAAACACCATTGCAAGATTATCATTATTATCAGTGCAAAGCAGAATAACGTCTAGAATGCACACACCACAAGATATCTATGAAGAATCATCTTGTGAGACTGTCTCTCAGGTATAAAGCCTCTTCATTATATTCTTCGCATGATGCTACAGTAAACTTGGGATAATGCTTGATTGAAAATGTACATAGAATCAAGATTATGTGGACTGACAACCTCGCAAATATAATGGATAAGGTCCATCCAGGCAATGTGTTAACTTTGACCTTGAAAGAGAAAACTGATATAAAAAATGTGTGGATGTTACATTAACCCTTTTCTACTGCAGCTGCCAGTGGGTTGGGATGCCTTGAGCACTGACCTTACACTGCTCTATATCCACACCAGGTCAGCCCATCAAGTTATTTCTCGTTTCTCCTGGCTGGGGTATAAAAGGAGAGATCGAGAACATAACCCGGGTTTAATGGCATGAAGGAGGCATCTTAAACGAGCGTGCGAGAGGAGAGAGAAAAAAAATCCAAATGGAAATACTAGTTTATATTTTCTTTTGTCTTTTTTTATTTCTATCATTTAGCAGGCCGTTTGGGTGCGTGTGTATATATATGGGTGTATGTTGTTGGTGTTTCAATGTGTAGTGTGGCTGGGAAATAAAACACCATCTTACCCACAATGCAACCTGATTTTAAGCACTGGTGGATGAGGTTCGTTCGCTCGAAACAGTTGATGCGTTCATGACTCTCGAGTGACATGTCTTCTCTAAACTCTGCATTATATTTATTCTAAGTGATTGTGTCGTATATATTTTCTTCCTTCTTTTCTTCACTTCGTTTACATCTTTATTTTCCATCCGTGATTCTAGAACGACGCTTGAGACCATCTCGAAAGGCGTGTGTGTCTGACTCATTTCTTTAAGCCTGTTTCGGATCGACTGAAACACTTCCATGCTAAAAAAGGGTTTCTCATGCATGGTCTTTGTGGCGCTTGAGTGTTGTCCTTGAATTCGTTCGGAAAGTGGGTAAACAACTTTATCTGTTTATGCTCTTGCTCTGTTTATAGATAGTTTATTCTTACCTCTTCTACTTTCCGCTCGCTTAGTTGTCTATCATGGTCTAAATGCGTATTCGAGAAACATTTGAAGACGTCATATCGTTTTATGAATGGGCACCAAAGCGAATTATTTTCAACTGGGAATTAGGTGATGAACCCCAAACTTATCTTTTTTTTATCTGTATTTTAGGTCATCCCACCCCTATCCACTCAAAAAAAGATAAAAAGCTATTTATTTCAGAATATGTTTTTTAGTGTAAGGACGATCATTGACGCTGTTTATACAAGGTATGGCCGACGAAGACAGCAAAAGTGTGTTCCCGATGTCTCTGAACTGAACCTATTTTGTCATGCCACAGACTAGTTCATGGGGGACACACTTTTTCGTTTCTGTGGCGTTTTTCCGTATGATTTATGTGTGTAATGTAACGCTATCATATTGGTCCTGTCGGATCAAAATCAAGCTGAGAAAGTCAATAAAAGAGCTTGGTCTTACTTACGTTGTTTTATTGTTTCCACGAGAGATGGTGTTCGAGAAAGAGTGAAAGGACACTAGTCTGGATATACATATACATGAAACATTATAGCTGGTGCTAAGTGTTGCGTATTCATCAGGTGCAAATAGTAGAGATTTAGTAAAGGAAAAAATGAATTCTGACCATACTCGTACACGCATATAAACATCTTACAGTATAAATAATGAAATATATTCCTGAAGTGAGTAGATTACATTACATGACTTCTTAAACATTAACATGACATGAGTCTGGGTTACTGCAAGATACAGTAAGAGGTATAAGATGCACAGGCCGTTTAGCAAATGAGACTTTCAACAATTCAGAGACATTTGAGCCTTGGGGGAAAAGTTGATGTTGACCTGGTTAAAACGCCGCGCAGGAGACACTGTAGGATGCACCGAGGCTTTAGCGGCAAAGATTCGCCATTCCTCCGCCCAATCCTTCTTCGCTTGGCCATTTCCTTCTTCTCCAATCCCCTTCTTCTTCTCGTTTGTCTTCCAGGCGCGGTGGACTTCCCCGGCCAGGTTCTTCAGGCTCTTGAGATTGGTCTTGACGCCCGAGGAGAAGGCCAAGCCCAGTTCCCGAGGCGAGGTCTTCTTCTCGCTCGCCATGTTCTTGAGGATCTCGACGCGCGCCTGCTCCCACTTCGCCCTCCGACTCTCGGGGTCGAGGGAGAGCTTGAGCGTCCTGTCGTGCGCTCCTTTGCGCCAGTAGAGCAGGTACATGAGGAGGAGCGACGCGACGGTCAGGATCAGCGGTAACACACCTAGGACGACCTGCACGACCGCATCGGAATCGTTGGCGTTCGTCACGGCGAAGGACCTGTCGCTGCTGACGTTGCAAGCGAACGTCGTGCCGATGGATGCGTACTGGGCCGCCCACGTCTCGCACGACTGGTAACCGCAACCCTTGACGCTGCTTAGGAGTCTGGTCGTCCCGATTCCTTGCTCTCCCGACGTCTCGGAGATGGAGGTGTTGCTTGCGAAGTCAGCTTCTGCGTCGGGTGTCTGCGCCGATGTTGCGGGAGGAAGATGCGTCGGCTTCGGCACACCAGAGGCTGTCTGAAGGGGCACCGTGGTGTTTTCATCCAAGGGAGGACTTACAAGCGATGCGTTTTCCCCGTAGAAGTGGACAAGGATCCTCCAGCAGCGAAACATCTCCTGCACGGTGCACCCTTGGCGACACGAGCTCCACGTGCAGTTGTTCTTCCCCTCGAGAGCCGTCGCGGAGGTGACCAGGCAGATCCCCGGCTCGAAGCGTGCCGCCAGCGTCGCCAAACCCGGTTCGAGGAGGAAGTGAAGCGTGATATAAAAGGCGGGGATCCCGAGAGACGCCGTGAGGACCAGCACCGCGGCGCGAAGGCGGAGGACGAAGCTCCTCAGAGATCGAACGAAGCGGCGACAGCATGGCTCGACGGGTTCCTTCTTCTTCTTCTTCGCCGGGTGTTTCTTCTCCGGCACTTGCCCTTTGTGCAAGTCGTGCACGAGGCCGTACATCGCTCAGAATAATCAGTCAGCTCCTTCTCTCTGTCCTCACT